CGGCAACTGGGCGGGACTACTCTGGGAAGGATACGCAGGATGACTTATGTACAATTACTATATCGTACGATGAACATGAATGAACTAATGATATGCAGTCCGCGGGGCAACCTTATATGCATTGAAGCATATATGCACACGTAGACTAGTTCGAACTATACAAAAAAACCCACAATAAATGGGAGATGTCATACCCTTCGCCCACGGGCAGACGGAGAAGCAATCAGATCCATCTCCTCGAGATCCCCAACGGAGTCCCCATCCGCATCCGGATCAAACTCCCCCATGGGCGTTACATGCACCGCCGGCGAGGCAATAGGACTATGCGCGACGCGCGGCCGTGACTTGAACACGCTATTGTAGTCCGCCGCCTCCTCGAACAGCTCGTCCCGTGGAGTCGACGCCCGAGTCTGCGACTGTTTCTCGGGTGTTTCGAACTGGTTGACGGGAAGGGAGACACGCGACTTGCGCGAGCGACGGGGCTGCTGTGGGGGCCGGCTGCTCGGGGGTGGAAGCAGTGACATGGACTTGCGGGTACGTTCGACGAGGGTGAACGTGTTGAGGCGCGGGTCGTGTTTGGGTTCGTTGTCTGGATCCGGGGTGATTTTAACGGTAGGCGAGCTTGTTCCGGTTGATTGGTTGTCCGGTGAAGGGACGGCCTCGTTCTCTAATTCTTTAGAGTAGGAAGGCCTGGAGTATTGTGAGATCGAGGGTTTGGCTGGTTGAGCGTCGGAGGGCATTGTGATGGTCGGTTCCATCACAGGCACACGTAGTGGAGGAGCGGCTTGTCCAGAAGAACGAGGCTTACCGTCGATGCGGGAAAGAGCTTCATTCATTGACTGTAGAAGGGCCTGGTCGTCTTGTCGGGGAGCAGCTCGAGCTAGCGGTTGGCGAACGGCTTTTGAGATGCTGGCCACGGTGAGAGCCTGGTGATCCTTGAAGGCCAGTGGTGGCGTGTTTGCTGCATTCCCCGAGGTCTGGGCCGCAGCACTGTCTTTCTCGCGCATGGAGCTGGCAACCTCGCGCCATTTCTGCAACCGATTGCGCTGACGCGCGATGCGGGACTCCAAGTCAACCAGCAGGTCGGGCGTCGTGCTGACGGTCAGATCCTCCACTGTCGTCTCGTTTGCCTTGGACCATGCTGTTTCAAACGGCAGCTCTAAGAAGGCATCACTGCTACTGCGAGCGCCGCCCTGAAGCAGGGTATCAGCCCACTCCTCGCTACCCATCCAATTCTCTTTCAACTCGCGTGCTAACGCATCGAGGTTGGCAACATCCTTGGGAAGATCAGGCGGACCCTCTTTAGAACGATCATCGAGCTGAGTCTTCTTGCTGTCCAGCACCTGAGAGAACTTCTCATGAACGGCCATAATCCGGGATCGACGCTCACCCATTGTGGCCAGAGAGACACGGTGGGCAAGAATCAGCGGCAGCATCAGCTGATACTCATCTGGGGTGATACCCTTAGCCATTGACAACCTCACCGCGCGGTTTGGCAGGCCGTCCAGCGACGAAGCCAGGACCTTGCGTAAAACGGCGGTGGAGAAGACGGCCAGCAGCTCGTCGACCTTCTCCCCTTTGCAATCGTCCAACATGGACTTGCGAAAGATTGTTTCTCTGCCGAGGTCGCCATTCTTCTTCAGATCAGAAAGTACTCGAGATAGAGCGGCACGAAGATTGACCGATTGTAGCGGCTCCAACGGAGGGTAGAAAGGGCGGAGTTTCTAGCAACGGTAGCTGGTCAGATTGATGCGCTTAGTGAACAATGATTGCAGAGGATCACATACATCGTGAGCAAGTTTAGGATCCCAGAGGGCAACGAGGTGATACAGAGCCCATTCGACCGCTCTTATACGCTGGCGCTGGTTCTGCGATGAGGGCGAAAGGGAGTGGACAGTAACGTCAGGCCAGTCGGGTTGAAGGTCAAGTTGCAGCAGCTTCAAATTGCGGATGAACACGCAAGTGTGTGATTGGTGAGTCCAATTAAGAGATTTGGGCCGGAGAGGTTGTTTCGAGGACTGCATGGTGGATGCGTGCAGACGATATGGAGGGAATAATGTCAACAAAGCTTCCACGGACCGAAGATCCAGCTCAGACTATGGAGAACTCCACTATTACGGCGTGGCCTCAGAACCCGGAGGGACACAAGTCATTATTGGCAGATTATTTGCATACCACTAGAGGTATTTACTTCAACATAGTATCTATTTTCCGGAACTAGTACCAGCATTCCGTCCTCAAGCGATACTGCAGCTTCAGTAATCGTAGCTGGTTGGCAATCACGTGAGTCCAATTCTGATATGCCTGTATTGAAAGCAGAAAATGCATCGGCAATCATTTCTCCTAGCTTATTCATATCAGAATCTTCATCCTATAATATCTTGTATCTAATTGCCTATTCAAGGATTGAATCAGTCTGATAGTCCCTGGTTCTTTTCCCAGTCCTTACAGAGGTATAAGGCTGGCTGCTTGTTTATCTGCACGATAAGCAGTTTGCATGGTTTGCATTGGCTGCCCAATCAGGAGCATCACAATTAAGAAGACAGACGACGTTGACTTAAATTGATAGAAGGTTGGTTCATAGAATTGGCAAGCAAGTATTGAAGGAGGACAACTTGAACAATATTAGGTGATACTGTTCCATAGCCATCATTATTATTGCTTGTGGCTGCTGCGCCGTCTGCTTGTTCCCCCTCCTACCAGGTTGGCGGTGATAAGAAACAGCACTTCTTTCTCTCCCCGCAGACATCTTCCCTTTTCTTCCCTCTCTCATTGATTCCAACTTTTTAATCTTTATCATTGCAGCAGTCGCTTCTATCGTCATATATCCCATTGCGCTGCGCATTACTCCACAGTCTCTACTTCAATTAATTTCAGACCATCCAGTCTCTGAATTAGCTGTATCTCCACTCAAACCGTTACCAGCGTACCCCTCATCCAGCAGCATCATGGGTTCCGACGCGCCTTCCGAACCTCTCTGGACCACTCAGTCAGGTATGATCTACCCAGTTACTTCAATGCTAATCTCCGTGATCTGGTGGTTCTAATTGCCTGTACCTTAGTTTTGTCCACACTGCCTCACCCTCCCGAAGAAAACTCCGCCTCCCCAATACCATTTTTCCACCTCCTCGAACGTCTAAAGACCACCAAGCGCGAAGGCTGGCGTCGCTTTGGCATCAGCACCGGCGAATCGATTTCTGACCACATGTATCGCATGTCAATCATGACCATGCTTGCGCCTCCTGCTCTTGCCTCCCGCCTCAACCTGCCCCACTGCATGAAGATGGCGCTTATCCATGACATGGCCGAGTCGATTGTGGGCGACATAACCCCCATGGACAAGGTGAACAAGACTGAAAAGGCGCGCCGCGAGGCTGAAGTGATGAACTACATTGCGAAGAACCTGCTTGGCGGTGTACCTGGAGGCATGTTGACGGGCGAGGAGATTCTGAAGGTCTTCAACGAATACGAGGCAAACGAAACTCTTGAAGCGCAATTTGTGCACGACGTTGATAAGATGGAGCTACTGCTGCAGATGCTTGAGTACGAGCGCACCCACAAGGTTGACCTCTCGGAGTTCTGTCACGTTGCTGCTCGTATCCACCTGGAAGAGGTCAAGGAATGGGCGGCCGTTGTTCTCAAGGAGCGGGAGGCTTTCTGGAAGGGAATGGCTGCGAACACGAACGGTACAGCATAGGCGACTAAGGGCAAGAGACTGGGAGGTTGACTGTATTCGTACGTTGCGTCATTCTTTACATTTGTTTTTGGGCCATCATCCCACCGAACCCGGTGGAGGCGTTTGGGTTGGCATTCTAGAATTAGACCGAATAGTGTGTGATAGCATAAGTCTAGGTATGAGCCATCAACGAGGCGCGGTTGACAGTTCCTAATGCATCTAGTATGTATTCTTCATGTACGTTATAGAACCTGCTATAAGGCACTGGTACGATCACTCCACATCCTCCCTCTCCATCCTCTCCATCTCCCTCGCCAACATCTCCGCCTCAGCTTCCATCTCCTCCATACTCCTCGGCGACCGCCCCTCATTATCAACCGCAGGGAACTTCGCTCTCGGCCTCCTTTCCCCCTCCGCCTCCCCGTCCTGCGCCCCCTTCCCCTCCACAAATGCTCGCCTCAAGTCCCCCTCCTCCCCATCCAACAAACCATACACCGCATCCGTCCCACCCCGATGGTCCAGATCCGCCCGTTTCCGCGGGATGATGTGCGCATGCACATGCGCCACGCTCTGGCCCGCGTCCGGCCCGTCCTGCACAGCGATATTGAGACTCGACGCGCCGTACACGCGCTCAACCATCTTGCCAACCCGCTGCACGGTGAGGAAGAGATCGGTCGTTTCGGCGGCGGTTAGGTCCGCGACGCGGGGAACGCGCCGGCGCGGGGATACGAGTACGTGGCCCGGGAGGATGGGTTTGAGGTTTACGAGGGCGAAGGAGAGTGGTGTGAGGTGGAAGACCTTGTGTGGTGTTAGTCTTTTTTCTGCCGGTACTGTGGGAGGATACCTTACCTGGGAGGTGACGAGGAATGGACCAAAGTAGATCTGGGCACCCTTGAGGGCGGCGGACATGGCGGGGACGGGGTCTCGGACGGACATCAAACGTTGTTTTCTATCTGTTCGGAAATTTTCTGATCAGGGATTAAGTGTAGGCTTGGGGAGGAGTAGAATGGATACCCCCTCGAGAGTGGATGCTTTTGGCGGTGCAGGTTAACTATGATGCGGAGTCGAGTCGGAGAAGCCGTGCGGGACCTGGTTGATAGCGGCACCAGCTGGCCGAGCGTTATCGAAGCCTTCCCCATTAGATATACAAATACAACGACAGAGAGTAAGGCCACTGCTGACAGCATTCTGTTAAGTAATGGGTATCATTAATTTCTAGACGGCCTCAATTGTATATTACATGTCGATTGAGCCTCCACTTGGCTCCATCGAGTGTGGGAGTTATCGCATCATAGAGATAAATAAACCTGGAACAAAGATGATCTCAAGTGTCCTTGGCTGACTCTGTCGTTGATTCGGGCTCCTGCTCGGTTGTCGTCGGTTCAGGCTCTTGCTGGGTCTTCTCAGTGGATGTTTCCTCTACAGGCGAGGGCTTTTCCTCCTCCCTTGCTTCTGTGCTCTCCTCTGTATCGGGTTGTGTTATGTCTGCTGGCGACTCCTCGGCCTTGGGTGCTTCCGGCTCCTCAGGTGGCTGGACAGCTTCCGGATCATCCTTTGCTGTTGCTTCTGTATTCGTATCTGAGGGTTTTTCCTCTTCGTCCTCGTGCACCTCTTCAACAGTAACCTGCGACTCAGCCGGGTCTTGCGCGGAAGGATCGGCGGCTCCCTTTTGCTCCTCACTTGCAACCTCTTCGGCAGGCTGTGTTTCAGCTTCAAGTTCGGGTACGGCCTCCGTAGGTTGTTCATCCTTTGACTCCATCACAGGCTCCGCCTTCTGTTGCTCTTCTGATTCCTCGGCACCCTCACTGATCGTCGTAACGCGAGAACTGATGGACGCGCTATTCTTGTGGCGCCGGGTGGTTGCACCGGTGCTAATGGACGAAGGCTCGACGTTCTCCAGCGGGCCCTCGCTGTCCTTTCGTAGGATCGTCATCGGATGGTTGTCCGCCTGCTCCTGCATTGACTGATTGGCATCGAGTCCCTCCGCTTCAGCGGGCACCGTGTAATTGTCTTCAGGAATAAGCTTGTACATATCGCACACCGTCTTGAAAAATATGTACAGCCCATCATTACCCTCAACCTGCCAGAACACATCCCGGTGCTGAAACCAGGCATGGGCGAAGATGCGGTACAATCGACGGAATATGTTGGTCAGGTACCTCAGACTCGCCTGCGGCCCACCGCCCGCCTCGGAGCCCAACGTAAGACGACTTGGAAAATGCTTTGGAGATGTGAGGATGTTGGTTGCCCAGTCGAGCGTATGGCAGCAGTAGTCGATCGCGCAGCAGGATTTCGGGGGGTCATGGACGGCGCAAAGATACTGCCACTCGGATGCACGCATCTCAGGACACGTTTGGGCGGAGCAGGGTGGGTCTTCGGCGAAGAAAGCAACGATCAGGTTATTCACTTTCATGGTGAGGAAACGACAGAGTTCGTAGAGCCAGAGGGACCTGTCCACCCCCTCGGGCGGTTCCGCAAGCTGTATCGCAACATCTCGATTGATAGGCACGACGGTCTCAGATCCCTCCGGTCGTGTGAAGTGGTTGTAGAGCGCTTTCAGGTGTTCTTGGAGCTGGAAAGGGGAGTCGAGCTGTTGGGCAACAGAGGGCTGGTTAGCGAAGATAAACACCTTTGACTTGTTTGTTTACATGAGCTCACCTGCGACAGAGGAATCAATGGAGGACCGACAGCCATATCAGCCGCTTTAGTTCCCGGTCGGATCCTTCGAGAAGAAGCATCATCGTTGCTCTTTGAAGCTGCCAGGAATTCTTGCGTCTCTTTCCCAAACGAATCGCCGACCGATGGTGACTTGGGCCCAATCTGTACCTCCGTGAACGGGGGAGGACTAGGTAAGCGCGGCGAGCTGGACGGCGACGCTCCAGCAGCAGCCATGATGAAGAAGAAGAATAAGAAGAAGAAATGAAAATAAAAATCCCAAGGCACGGCCTGTCAGTGTAATGACGGCGGCCACCAGACACTGATGCTGGTGATGATTGATGGAGAGCTACTGCTGCGGAGCTCGATGGCCGAGACCACCGCCAGGATCCTTAGGCTGCAAGGCTCTAAGGCTACCGTAGCCCCAAGCCCATGACCGGGGAAGCCCTGAGCCCTAATCTGCCTCCGCTCCAGGAACGGACGTCATTCTTCCCCGCAAGAATAAGGTACGGTAATCGCTTCATAGTTTATAGACCGTTTGAGTGAAGCGTTCATCCCGAACTCAAACCATGCCAGCAGATATTATCGACGATGATGATGCTCCCCCAGAGCTGGTGGATGTGTCCGCGCTACCGGACTCAGAAAAGCCCAATATTTCCAAGACACCATCTACAACATTAGACACGCCGGCACAGGATCGCGTGCCCATAACTCTGGTAACTGGTATAACTTTATCAGAAAAGAACTTCTTATGCTTGAGGCTCACATGCAACAAGGCTATCTCGGTGCGGGCAAGACTACTTTACTTAATTACATCTTGAGTGAGAAACATGGCAAAAAGATAGCCGTGATCATGAACGGTTTGTTGTCCAGGATCATGTGAAGAAACATGACTGATATGTATTTTTAGAGTTCGGGGACTGTAAGTCGGCATGGCAAGGCACAATTCAGCCATTAAACTAACTCAACCCCCAGCGACGGACATCGAAAAGCCGTTGACGGTTAACCAGAACGGCCAAGAAGTCACGGAGTGGATGGAAGTCGGAAACGGCTGCATCTGCTGCTCCGTCAAGTAAGCACTGCTCCCCCCAAGCTCCGAAGACAAGGTGACTGAGCAGCTGGGCGCCAGAGACTCCGGCGTCATGGCCATCGAGTCACTTATGGAGCGCCGGGGGACATTCGACTACATCCTGCTAGAGACAACGGGGCTCGCCGACCCGGGCAACCTCGCGCCCGTTTTCTGGGTAGACGATAACCTCGGCAGCTCCATCTACCTAGACGGAATCGTCACGCTAGTCGACGCGAAGAACATCCTCCATCTTCTGGACGAGCCCGCGCCAGAGGAAACCGCATCCAGCCACACCGACGGAAATGAGAGCGAGGGCCACGGGCACTCGGGGCCTGTGCTCTCCATGGCGCACATGCAGATCTCCCACGCGGACGTGATCATCCTAAACAAGGCGGATCTCGTTACCCAGGAGGAACTCGACCACGTCCGCTCTCGCATCCTGGCGATCAACAGCGTCGCCAAAATCCACGTCACAGACCACAGCAGGACACCGCAGATTGAGGGCGTCGTGCTGGATCTCCATGCCTACGACCACCTGGATAGCCTGGACTTCGGTGCCAAGGGACACAGTCACATCGACCCGGTAACACTAACATTTACCCGCAACGTTCAATTTCTCATCGCTAACCATTTGCAATATCCTACCAGGCAATATCAACAATCGCCATAATCATACCCCCTATTCCAGCCGACAAGGTCTCACGGGTAGACGCCTGGCTCCAGTCCATCCTATGGGAATCAAAAATCCCAGTAAAGGACAATACAGATACTTCTAACTTTGATAATTTCGAGATCCATCGTCTGAAAGGCATTCTAGTCCTGCAAGACGGGTCCTGTAAGATCATCCAGGCTGTTCGGGAAGTCTTCGAGATCCGAGACTCGGAGCCAAAGACAAGCGGCGGCGGCGACTGCAAGCTCGTTCTGATCGGCCGTGGTCTGGGACAGGATGCGCAGCCGTGGCGGAGGAACTTTGAGGCGTTCCTGGAGGCTGGACAGTAGCGCAGTGGTTACAGGCGCGATATAGCCAAGCGAGAGCTCGCGCCTCGTGGTACAAGTCCTCCGCGAGACATTCTATTACCAGCGGCGAGCAGACACGCGGCAAGGCCGAAGCGGCGAAGGAACAGCTTCACCGAATGAGGTAGTCCCACAGACCGCAAATCTTATAGGGCAGCTCAATAAGTTGCCAAATAGTTACCAGGGAACAATCGCCAGCTCCTCCGACGTACCTGCAGCCTGCATGATCCATATATTTTGCAAAAAAAGGGCATCAATTAAAATTTTGATAGGATAAATACAGCTTCATGAAAGAGAAAAGAATGACACGGACGTCGGAAAAGTATACAATGGAACCACTTGCAGAGGGAAAAGAGCATCAGATGACATCCGCCAATCGTATATCATGAGAAGATCGTAAATGAGGACCTGGCACCGCAGAGAAATTAGGCACATCTCTAAATCGCAGGTCGTAATCTGACAACGGTGGTCCTGTTCTGAGAAGTAAATGTTATCAACTTCCAATGCCCTGGCATCTCAAAAAAGTATGAGCAACAGTTGCGGTTGATTTCTATTCAATGATGGCGCAAGAGCCGTACCAACAAGAGACTGAATAGTAGAAACCAAAACTCCAGGTTCGCCTTTATCGACTTTCCGCGAGTCTCGTCCATTCGAAAGAGTGAGAAAATATGGGAAAGGACGCCAACGGGGTAACTGTACAGCGCGAGCAAAAACGTGTATCAAGGGTATCGAGCACTTTGAGGCCTTGGGTCTGAGGCCTGGCTAAATCATTGGGAAGAAATGCTGAGTCGTGAGAAAGGCTTTTTTTTATTTTCTAAGAATGCACCCACTGTCATATTGATGCCGAGGAACTGTTGGGGATTGCTGGGTTGATGGGCAGATGAGATTCGCTCAAATAGGGTGTTTGCTCCAAGAGGCCATGCTTTGGATAGTTGAAAGCGGAGCGAATGGCCGACTGTGATATTCGGTTTGTATTCAGATCCGTAGATTTTTGGTTCGTTACACTCGATGCGGGGTTGATTGGTAAGACTGAATGTAGAAGGGATGATACGGCGTATGTTGACGCTTCGGTGGACCAGTTTTCTTTCGGGATATAGGAACACTCAAGGTCCACCGTCGAGGAGGAATGTGGATGAGTAGACTGAGTTGTTGCTGATGAAGCAGAGGACGTATGATATTTCATCGACTTTGAAGATGGTTCTCTCGTGCTGCCTGAGGAGCAGGCCGGATTTCGAGCGACACCCGCCAGCTCCGCCGGGATATGGTCAACCTGGAAATGTAACGAGTTCGCTAATTGATCGACAGGATATGCTTGATGGATAGAGTCTCTCCCGCTAGAGTGTCGTCCTCTCTCATTTGCTCCGCCATGGTCGGGGTTGTGGTTGCGAAGTTTGCTTTCCGGTACGCCTCTATCGGTAGAGGAGTGAGGGCGTTGGCCATTTGACTGGGAATTTCGAGAATCAAATGTCACCTCACAGGGCCGATTGTCGGCTGCATACTCGTGCATGGAGTTTGACTGTTCATTTGTGGTCGGCACTTTCTCGTCGTCTAGTGACAGACTATAACAGTCTTCCCCAGCGTATGCGGGAAAGGACTCTACGCTATTGGCATATAGCTGAGACCCTGAATCGTCCAGAGAAACTGCTCTTTCATGGAAATGGCCAGGTTGATAAAATGCCCGGTTGTTTGGACCGGCAAAAGGTGCCGCTGTAGTAATGGCACGAGCATTGTATAAAGGTAACGGGCTGTTGTACAGCCCAACCCCCAGGCCTCCGTGCGGAAGATGCGTCGATTGGTATTGCGGTGCTGTTGAAAGCTCCTGCGGGAAGAAGACCAGGAGCTCCTTTGCCGAGAGCCTGTGTCGAGGAGAAGGACTCAAGCAGATTGACACGATCCTGCGATACCAATCAGGCACGTTCACCTCCTCGCCCAGCAAGAGGGGCCGAGGCTGCCGTTCAGGCTCGTCTTCCTCGGTGGCCAGCGCCCACAGAGTCATTCCTAGCTGATAAAGATCGGTTTTGACCCCGATGTACATGGATATTCGCTGGTTGCTCTCGATCTTGGCGGCAATTTCAGGAGGCTCCCATCCCACAGGACAGCCTCGTCTGTTGATATCGATGATTTTGGCGTTGTCATCAGCATCCACCACGATGTTCGACAATGTGAAGTCTCCTTGCACATATCCGGACTCGTGAATCTCACCCAGGCCCTGGACGATTTGCCTTGCCCACCGCGCTCGCCGCTCCCAGGAGATTGTGCCCCGCTGCTCGTACAAAATGTCAACCAATGCCCCCTGTTCAGCGTAGCTGATAAGTAGACCCTTGACGACATCTCGCCGTTCGTTGACAACAATCCCTTCCACTTGAATGACGTTTGGTGAACCGTTGAGGGCATGTAGAGCGTTGATCTCGTAGAGGAACTCGTCGACCGTGTCGGGACCGGGAATTTCCTTTTTGATATAGTTCTTGCCATCCAGTCGGACATTGTACACGAAGCCCGACAGATGCGCCTCGAAATGCAGCTGGTATTCTGGGACAAGGCGAGCCTCCGGCAAATGGCCGATGCAGGAGGTCGGAGGGTAGGGAATGATTTCGTTTACGTCTTCGGTGACGTGCACATGGAGCCGGCCATCACGCGTCTCCAGTTTCAGGTTCGTGACTGTGTCGTAAAACTGAATCTCTGGAAGCGACTCTCGGATGGACTCGTAGATTCGAGCGCACTTGTCTCGCTGGTAGCGTAATTCCTTCAGATCCTGCTCGAGCGAATCGGGAGGAGCGCCCCGATAATCGCAAGAGATGGTGACTCTGCGCCATCGGTTGGGGGCCTCTGCGTAGGTGACGAAAAATTTCTCGCGCTCCGACCGGTCACGGAAATGCATACTCAGATTCAGTATCCATCGCTTTTCCAACTCCATCTCAATCAGATCCTCCGGCGGCTGTTGGGGCACATCCGCGACCTCGGGACACAGATTCCAATCGGACATAACCTCACTGTCATCATTCGTCGTCGCGGGTGGTTCAACTTCCTCCACCGTGGGTTCTTCCGCGTGGTCGTGCCATGGAACCTCGGGCGCGGACAATCTGGGGTCCACGGTGGGCTGTGGGGACCTGGTCCGCTGGGCGCTCAACGGGCAACGACGGTCGGCGGAAACGGC